TGAGGAAGAAAGTTAATCTACAGTCTAAGAGGCAGAAGTTGCAAACATGCTACATGACTCAGTCTCTCGGGCTTAACTTCCCCTTAGCATAATAAATTTAGAGGGTCCTGAAATTTTATTTTCTTTTACACTTGTTTATGTTGTCTATGTTTTTAGTTGCTAGTATAGCTTGTTTGCTGTAACTTTAAAAATATACACCTTTGCTAAAGGAAACCGCACAGTAAAATCATTCTTTAAAATATTTCACGGGGATGGTAGCAGTTGACAAAAACAGTTCAACTCTTATCAAGAATCTCCATCTCTTTCTCAACAGAACTGATATGTGGTCTTCTGTAAGTCATTTCCCTCGCTGAGCCTCAGCTTTAAAAAAAAAAAAATCTCTAAAATATGAGATTAGACTTGATTTTAAGGTTTCTTCCTGTTTTAAGACTGTGGTTCAACACAGAGTTTTTTGCCTCTCCCTGATTTCGCTGAGGGCTGAAGAGCAGAAAAGCTCTAACGTTTCACGCTCGTGCAGGCACACAGAACACGCATCTCCCGGGTTGATTTTGTTTCCCCCTCACACAAAAACCAAACCTTCAGGAGCTAGTTTCCAGCTAAGCACTCATCCCAGGAAATAGCCCATTTAAAGTGGAGACTCCATTCAAATATATGAAAAGATGCTCAGCCTCATTCAAAGTAAAAGGAGTGAGTGCAAATTTAAAGTTGAAGGAGATACCATTTTTTGCCTAGTAGACTGGCAAAGATCACAATTTTGGTGATACAGGTACCCTGTGCTGGCAAGGCAAACCAGGTTGGTACGACTGTAGATTTGTTCAGCTCTCTGCAGACCCAGTTAGAAGACGAATCACAAATATTCAAGTGCACATACCCTTTGACCCAGCCCTGTGTAGAGACTCACCCATGTGCACAAAGATGTTTGTATCTGAGCATTTGCAGTGGCAAGTTTGTAGAAACAAAAGACTGGCATCACCCTTTATGCCCATCAATGTGTGAAATACAGTCATGTATTCTGTACTCACAAATGGAATACTGAGCTGTGCAATTGTAAAAAGAGAATGAGACAGATTTTTATGAATTGATTACAAACGGTTTTCAAGGTATATTAAGTCTGTTATATAAAACTGTGTATTTGTATAAGAAAGAACAGATGAGGGATATCTATGTTTATATGTGCATAGAATATCCCTGGGAAAATATGCAAGAAATAGGTCTGTAACTTGTTAAATTTTTTAGCCATGAGCATGTATTCATCTTTAAGTACATAAAAAAGTTTTTAAGTACATAAAAATGTAATTTAAAATAAGTAAGGCAACCCAATAGAACAACTGGAAAAACACTCGAACATACTTTACAAAAGACGATATCCAAAACATGAAAAAGTGCTCATTTTCCTTAGTTATCAGGGAAATGCAAACTTAAACCACAAGAGGTTGGAAGGAGACAGGTCATGCAGGGTCCTTGTGACCAGGTGAAGGGTGCTGGCCTCATCCGAGGGGCACAGGGAAGCCACTGAAGGGCTGGATCACATTTTTGGTTTTTAAAGGTCACTCTAGCTGCTTGGTGGAGAACAGACTGGAGAAAGGCCAGGATACATACGGGGGAGTGTCAGCTAATAAATGTACGTGGAGCAACAGAATTAGAAAACTCAACATTTGGCAACCACCAGAGCATCATCAGTAACCGATGCTAGACCATCGGGTGAAAGTTCACTGGGACATAGGCTATTTAAATAGTTTCAAAGTATCTTGAGGATGCAAAGGGGGAAAAGGTACCTTTACAATGAAGAACTGTATCACCATCAAACATAAGGTCACCAGTGACGAGACAAACTGACAACGTGCCTGCTATGATGCACCGAGGACACATGGAGCACTGCTGCCAAAATGTGACTCTAATAATAAAGGAACAATCAGAAACATCTAAATTGAGAGACATCCTACAAAACAAGCGGCCTGTACTCTAAGTAAATAGCAATGTCTTAAAGGACAAGCTGAAGAACTATTCCAGAGTAAAAGAGAATCACTTTGAAGATGGGATGGGGTGGAGGGGAAGGAAGGGGCCACCAGCCAGGGAATGGAGGCAAGGAAACAATTCTCTAGAGCCACTAGAAGGAACACAGCCCTGCTGACACCTCAATTTTGGAACTTGACCTCCAGAATTGTAAGATAATAAATTTGTGGGTTTTTTTGTTTTCGAGATAGGTTCTCACTCTGTTGCCTGGGCTAGAGTGCAGTGGTGTCATCATAGCTCACTGCAACCTCAAACTCCTGGGCTCAAGCAATTCTCCTGCCTCAGCCTCCCAAGTAGGTGGAATTACAGGTGCACACCAGCTAATTTTTCTATTTTTTGTAGACACCGGGTCTCACTCTTGCTCAGCCTGGTCTTGAACTCCTGAGCTCAAGTGATCCTCCCACCTTGGCCACCCAGAGTGCTAGGGTTACAGGATAAGCCACCATGCCCAGCCTAATTTTTTAATTTTTTTGTAGAGACACAGTCTCACTATGTTGCCTAGGCTGGTCAACGTATTTTTTAATATTTATTTAGTCATCCAATAAATTTATCACTTCTCCCACCTTCCTTTCATGCCACTTATAATAATACAATATTATGAGACATGTTAGTGAGTGCTTTGTCCTAGATATCGGTTGCTTTTCTTTGCCTGCCCAGAATCTAACCCCCATTCCTGGCAAAAGCACCTTAGTTTCCTGGGGGAACCACCCTTCTCTTGCTCTCCACCCAAGTGGTGTGGGTGGGGCTGACCCTCCATCCTGTCTAGATCTGGCCAAAACAGTTATTCCAACAACCTGGCCTCAGAGATTGCTTCACGGGGATGAGCACATGAGAAGCATTGGTCCATTCAGACCAAATCCGAAACTTTGTTAGAAGTATTGAAAGAGAGAATCCTTTTTTCCACCAGGGCTGCTAAACTGAGACAATATAAGCCTGGAGCCGTTGGAGGCCACCCTATAAAAAGAATCTAGTCTGAGAACGAAGCCAACGCAGAGGGGGAGAGAGATCAAGTTCTGATGACACCATTTGCACCCCTGGATCCTGCTGTGCCAACCCCAAAACTTATGTAAGCCAACATATTCCCTTGTTTTAAAAAAAACAGCTTGAATTGAGTTTCTGTCACTTATAACTGAAAAGAATCCTGGTAAACGTATTTTGCAGGTCCAAACACGCGATTTCCACCATATTTCCTTGATTTACCAGTCTGTACATTCCACAGCAGAAAATAAGGTTAACCTAGCATGGCTTGATCCTTGTCACTGGTGTTTCCTCTTCTGAGGGGCCACAAATATTTTTTCGTGAGTCATCTGTCCTGAATATTTTCCAGGCCCAATGTCAAGTTCACTGGTCTGTGGTTTGCAGAACTCACGTTCTTCCCTTTTTTCAAAATGGCCATGTCCTCTGCCTCTCTCCAACCTTCTGGCAAGGCCAGCAGACCTTTTATGAGGTGGGTAGAGGGTCTGCATGAGTGCTTGGGAGAAATGACATTTCCTCAAAACGGAATCTGACTCTGAATAAGCTCACATTTTTTTCAACTTTCCTGAACAGTTGGTGCTGCCAAGGTCAGGTCAGGACTGCACAAGTCAGCGCATTGTGACAGGCTCACTCGCCAAAGGGAGGATTTCCTCCAGCCGCAGCGTCCATCCTGCTCCATCCCGTAAATTCTGCAAGACAGCACTTGTATTCTGCTGCACTCAGAACAGAACCCTGCCGAGACCAGCAGCATTTTATGTAGCATCCACATAAGGGAATGAAGGCTACCGGACCTGCCTCCCCTTCCTGAAGTCACACCAAGCTGAAACACCCTGAGTTCCAGCTTCTCAGACATCATGGCCATACCCAGTTGGTCAAGAAAACCTGGAAAGGACCAGAAGCAGCTATGGGACTGAAGGCCCCATAATCCTCATGGAACTGCAGCTCCAGCTTTTTTCTTCAAGTGTTCCCTTAAACTTTTCCAAATAAGTCAAGTAAGTTCAATAGGTCATCTTTCCAGGGACCAGCAGCTCTGCTTGTGATCAGATACGTGATCATCACTCCGTATGTCAGTTTTTCTCTCAAGTGGCAGAACTCCAGTTCCTCCTGCATAAATCTCAAGACTTCAGAAAACCCAGTTTTCTAAAATCAACATTCAGCCCTACTTCAAATATCACTGCATTTCTTTAAAGACAAAGCTTTAATATTTCATTTAAGCAGCCACCAGGAGCACCAAGCGCTGCGATGTAGCTGTGCAAATGCCTTTAGAAGATGCGCAATGTCAGAGCCCACACTCCTGAATCAGATCCCCCACTTTCCTAGGTACTGGAACCCAGTTTGACATAAACTCCAAAATTACTGGAGAGGGGCTGTCAGTTTATGTCTCTACACTTCCTCTGGAACTGAAAAAGCTTCCATAGGCGGCTCTTCTATTTTTTACTTTTTTTTTTTAATTGAAGAGATGTAGGAGAAACAAATGGCCCGAACATTGCGTTTATTGTGTTTGCAGAAAAGATGCAGACAGGCCTAGAACTTTGGAGCCGCTGAAGTGCCACCTACCAGGCTTTAAGTCGCCCGCTTTCAAAACATAAACCGAGCTCAGCGTGCCCGTCTGTGTACCCTCGCAGAACCGACTTCGCCGTGGCTCTGGGACACTGCGGGCGGGAAGGGGCTCGCCTGCTTTAAAGGTGGGACACCCAGGACCGCGAGGTAACCGGGACCAGACCGTGTTTCCCGGCTGCGTGCGCACCGTCCCCCATCATCAAGTAGCCCACCCCGTCTTGTGTAGAAAAGCCTGCCTCGCCCCCCTCCCCCCGACTCCCCCGAAGCGCGGGAACACCCGGAGCTCAGCAGCGTCCGTGTACTCGCACCCGGCAGAGCAGCCTCCCGCGAGCAAGCACCGCCTCGTCACGTGACGCCCTCGGCCAGGGGGCGGGGCCCGCGCCGCGCCTGCGCAGATGGGGCCGGGGGCGGGCGCGTCCGGCTGACTGACAGCTCGTGCCGCGGCGCCTCGGAAGGACCCGGCTGCTCCCGAGCGGCGCAGACGCCTCAGCCGCCGAGCCCGACGGCTCCAGCCCGCTGCCCGGCCGCCGCGGTGAGAGGGGCCGTGGGGCGGCCTCGGGCTCGCTCGCCGGGCTCGCGAGGGGAGAGCGGGCCCGGGAGAGACCTGGACGGGGCGCTCGGGGGTCCGCAGGGGTGACAGGTGGGAGCGCCGGGGGGCGGCGGGGAGGGCTGGGGGTGACAGGACGCGGGTCCACGGCGTCCGCGCCTGCCCGGAGCCGAGGGGACGGGGACGCGGCGCGGGGGGAACCGGGGGCCGCTGCCCGCGGGAGGTGTCCCGGGTGGCAGATGTCGCCAGATGCTGTCCCCAGGTGGCTTTGGGATGGAGCTGGCTTCTCCAGAGAAGCCCCAGGCTGGGAAAGGCACGCGGGGAGGGGCGCAGGGGGCGGGTGGGAGACGCGTGTCGGTGCGCGTGCGGGGAGGGAAGGGCCCCCTGCCGGGCGGCCCCCTCAGGTCCCCCGGGCTGTCACCGGCGCCCCTGCTCGGGAGGGCCCGGGCGCGGGAGGCTGGGGAGGGACGGCGGCGTGAAGGCAGCCTCAGGAGCTGAGGTCCGGGCAGCTGGGTCGGCGGGATTGAAGCGGTTTCCAGGATCTTGGACAGGACAGGATATAGTCTTCCCGCAGCTGCGTGCACGGTCCCCCTTCCCAGGGTTGCAGGTCGATGGGGTTTGGGGAGAGGAAAGGGGAAGAGGAAAAAGACTTTGCAGTGGGCACGGGCCGGCTCCTCCTCCCTGGGCAAGTGCTCGCAGGAGTGCCAACCTGCGGAGTGAGCAGGGCCTGGCCTCCCAGCTGGCACAGGTGAGGCGCCCTGACGTGGAGGTGGTGGCTGCGGTGAGTCAGTGTCAGAGGCAGGCTGACAGCTGTCAGGGCCAGGCTGCTTTAGCCAGGCTGCGACCTGATGCCATGTTTCGGATTCATGTGATCAAGGCAGCCCCGGGCAGCCCAGACGTCTAACTCTGTCGCGCAAAGGAAAAAGAAAAAGGCTCGGGTTGTAGGATTGTATTGCACCTAGCTTTCCCTCGTTTCCGCCGGGAAGTGTATGCTCGCCCATTGTTCAGAGTGTCTCCCTTTGGCTGTCACTTGTTTTTATTTCCACTTTGTTCAGAAATAGGGTTGCCTTTGAGGCGCGTGACGAAAGGGTATTGAGATTGGCTCACAATGACAAAGTTGACTCATGAGATTTTCCTTTCCCATTAAAAAAATGGGGATGGCTTTGGACTGGTACATAGGCACTCTTGGTGGCAGGTTTATCTTTAAGCCTCCCCATGTCACATTCCGATGTTTCCTGCAGTGTCTGTCTTGTGTGTGGGATGTGTCAGCTAATGCGAAGCTTGGTTGGGTTATTAATTTTCCGGGATGTAACAACTAAGGGCAATGAGGAGAGACTCAGTGATGTGAGTAAATCACAAACCTTAAATAATTTGCTACAGAATTCCAGAAAGGGAGAATATCCACAGATCCTAGATGTGGTTCTCTTTTTGATCACAATAACTTTGTTTCTTCAAAGGCAAAATGATTTATGGTTACCCCAAATGGCTCTGAGGGGGCTTCTTTGAGGACAGTCCCTGGTAGGGTTTAGGGTGGAGTGAATCATGCTGCATGCTTCCCTGCCCCCCTTCTCCCTGGCTTCTCCTGAAAATTGAAAATAATCAGGTTAAAAGAAACACAAAAGCATCTTGGGGAGATTTAAAAAAAAAAGAAGTCATGAAAAGTCAACCAGCAACAGGAAAGATTTGCAAAGGGAGGAGTAAAAATCCTGTTCTAAGAATACAAAGTGTGTTCACACATAGACTCTTAATTGACCCTCAGGATAAACCTGGGAGTAATAGGTGGTGTTATCATTCCCATGTCACAGGTGAGGAAACTGAGGCCGAGAGACTTGCACAGGGCACTTAGCCACGGGGGACAAAGCGAAGGGTTAAGCCCAGCTGTCTGACACTGGGTGTGCTAGCCCACACTGCCCTGCAGAACGGGATGCGGATGGGTCCCAGCGGATTATCCTGCACACAAGGGCCCCGGGGCTTTCCCAGTGCCTTGAAGAGCATCCTTCTCTCCCCGACGCGAGGGCTCACTGAGTCATCCTGGCTTGCCCGCAGCTGCGCCCTCACCGCTTCCCCCACTCCAAGCTTGCAGTAGTCTTCGTCGACTCAGATTTGTTTACGGGTCCTGGAGAAATCTAGTAGGAAGTATGATTGCAAAGAGCGTCTTTTGCTCAAGCGTTCTGTGTTTCCAAATAGTCTAGGTGTCTTCAGATGTGTGATGCAAGAGGGCAAGGGAAACTTGCTATCATAGTTTTCCTTGTCCCCCGCCCAGAAGAGAAATGCCGTGGTTGTGAAACCTAAGGAGGTGACCCAGTAGTTTTGTTTATTCTAATCGTTTTTTTATATGTGGCATTGTGTGGGTTATGGCGACACTTTTTTTTTTTTTCCTGAACAGGGCATAGATGTTCTCATTAGGGAAGAACAGGCTTTCGTCCCATTCTCTAGATCTGGGCACCACAAAAAGGACTTCCAGGGGGAAGTTGCCTGATAGATGTTTCAGCAGGTCAGTGGCATAAAACAGAACTGAAACCCAGAGCCACCTGGGGCACATCAGAAGCGAGGGTCTGGAATGAAAAAGGTGAAAGCTGCAGTATACTCCGTGCTTAGAACATTGTGTTCCTTTCTGGACATCGCATTTAATGAAGGGCATAGGGAAACATCAAGCACATCCATTGGAAACTGTTACAGTGGCGAAAGAATTAGACCTGGTTGAGCCTAGAGAATCCTGGGAGCTCTGGTGACAGAAAGTTCAGGGCTGTCACTCGTTAAACTCACTCTGTACAGCCCAAGAACCAAAGGACAGGTTATAAAGACTTTAGTTTTAAGAACTTGATCACGCCACAGTGACCATTTAAAAACTGTGAATCAAGTCATGTCTCCCCCCAGCAGCTTCCCAGTGCTCTCAGGATGAAGCTCAGACTCCTTACCCTGGGCTCCTCTGGTGGCCGTGCAGGTGCTGGCTGGCCCGGCCTGCTTCTCTAGCTCCATCAGCTACTGCTTTCTCACTCACAAAGGCCGCCTTCTTTCTATGCCTTGAGCATGCAGAGATCACTCTGCCTCAGGGCCTTTGCACTGGCTATTCCTCCTGCCACAGTTCCCCACGGCCAGCTCCCTGTCATTCAGGTCACTGCTCCAATACCACATCCTTCGTGAGACCTTCCCTAGTAATCAAAGTAACGTACCTTTTTCCTCTCACTCTGTCATATTACAGTGTTTTGTTTTCTTCATTACAATGTCACAAATGACCTTATTTGTTTGAGAACACTATTGTTATCTGTTTCCCATTTGCCACTGTATCAACAGGGCACAAAACAAGTGTCTCCCATGTAGTAGGTACTCCATAAATGTTTGCTGAATGAATGATGTTTATGACAGGCCTTTTCAAAGATGGGAGGAATTGCTGCTTTGGCAGATATTAAGTTAGTTTTCTTTTGCTACAGACGAACAGGCTGGCAAGCTGACCGCTGGGCAAGAGAATTCAAGCACTAGATGGATAGTAGAACCAGGTAACCTGTATTTATTTCCTAGAGCTGCTGTGACAAAGTACCACAAACAAGGTGGCTTACAACAACAGAAACTTATTCTCTCACGGTTCTGGAGACCCAAAGTCCAAAATCAAGGTGTCCACAGGATTGGTTCCCTCTTGGGGACTCAGAGGGAGACTGTGCCTCTCTTCCTGGCTTCTCATGGTTGCTGGCGATCCGTGGTATCCCTTGCTCGCAGCTGCGTAACTCCAGCCTCTGCCTCTGCGGTCGGTCACACGGCCTTCCCCTGTGCCTGTTTTCACATGATCTCTCCTCTGTGCCTGTGTCTCTGGATCTCCTCTTCTTATAGTGACACCAGTCAGATTGGATTCAGGGGCCACCCTACTCCATTATGACTTCATCCTAACTAATTATATCCATATAGACCCTATTTCCAAATAAGTTCACTCACAATTTCCAGGGCTTAGGACTCAACATATCTTTTTGGCAGAGGGGACACAATTCAACCCATAACACCTTCAAACTTGAAGATGCACTGACATTTTAGAGGGAAACATTGGCAGGAGGTGCTGGGTTATTTTTAGGGATGATGACAGGGATTTAGATGTTTTTATGGAAAGCATCCATGATCCTTAGAAAGTGGCGATCTACATGCTTCGCAGGTGAGAAGAGGGAGGGTCGGAGCAGTCGAGTGACTTGCTCAGGGCTGTGCAGCTGGCGGTGCCAAGGTGGTCGTTTGATTGCCAGGCCTGCGGTCTCCCCACCCAGCCCTGTGCCTGCTGGCAGGGACGTCGCAGCTGCTTGAGGCTAGGATGCAGGATTTCTCTAATGGCCTCCGCAGGGGCCCCAGAGAGATGATCCCCTTCCTTGGCGTTTTGCTTACCTTGTCCCTGTCGTGGAGGAAGAGCTCACTGACATCCAGCAGGGAAATAAGTGGCGACACTGGATAGGATGCCCCGGCGTTGGCCCTCTCGCTGCCAGCGCTGGCAGAAGCCGTGTCCTCCCTTGCCGTGATTCTGAAGGGCGGTTTGCTAAGGCGTTGAGAGTTCTGGGTTCCAGAGTCTCAGGTTTTGACCAAGAATGAGCCATCTGGGATGTCACAGTTCTTCTTTGGAGGTGGGGGTGGGTCAGAGCAGGGCAGGCCGCCAGCTGACGGACCTGGTGACTTGTACCTGCACCTTCAGAGACCCTCTGTTGCTGGCTCTGTCCCACCCAGATACCCAATATGCCCCCCTCTTATGTTATTGTATTTATTTTCATGTTTGGTAATTCATGCAGATGGTACCAAATTCAAATGATGCAGAAAGATGTTGAGTGTAGTTCCTGCCCCTCCTTTCTCTGCCCCCCAAGTCCCCTCCCCTGTGCGTTCTGCCAGTTTCTTGTGTCTCCTTCTAGAGCACCGAATGTCCTTTTCATGTCCCCGGTTGTCATCACCCCTTAGCCCCAGGCTGTGCTTGCCATGCCTACTTTCAGTCCTTCCTCCCTCCCGCCTTTTCAGAACCCCCTTCTGCTGCTACCTGACAGCTGAATTGTCCCCCGTGTTAGAGCTGATGACAATACTCCTGCCCAGGAGTGTTACCTTGGGAAGGAAGATGCTTAGAAGTGAATCTGTAATGG